TTAGAGTGCGTGTCAAACCTTAAGAGGAAGGCTTGTCCTTTGCTACAGTGAATAGTATAAAAGCACTATTTCTGAGTAGACATCCTTACCTAAAGTTAGTAGATAAAGAGTCGACTAATCGGCTCCATACCGTACTAACTTTTGTAAGGGTATGGGCTTTGTCCTTTATGTGCATAAGGACAAGACAACAACAATCGTGCTAAGCAAGCTTCCTTTGATCGATGAATGCTGGAATGACCTGAAGGTCTCAACATCATTCGCTGAAGCTAGAGCAGTCTTCACACATATGTAGACAGGCTTGTAATCACTGAATATCGCTTCAGATCACGTACTCGCCGGTCTCTAATCTTCAGTTTCAGTCTTCGACGTTTGCTGAATGTTCTTTGGTGTGAGTGTTGTCTTCTTGAAGTATTGATGTCTCTGATAGATTTACAATGCAAGTTCTTCAGTGATCACTGAACATACTCAGTGAAGATCGTTGGAACTGAAAATACAGAAACACAAATACAACGTGAAAGAGAAAAGGGATTATCATCAAATCACTGAGAGAGAGGATCAACAGGGGTGACATTAATGTCAGATCAACACAAGGTAATCTAATTGTATTACTTTTTTCTTTACTAATTTGTTATCTACTTTTATGATTTTTACTGATTAGTCATCAACGTAAAAACGTAGGGACTTATTGAAGCCGTAAAAGAAGTCTTCCCACTGGCTGAACATCGACAATGTGCCCACTGGCTGAACATCAACAATGTGCCCACTGGCTGAACATCGACAATGGGCCCACTGGCTGAACATCGACAATGTGCTAGGCACATTTATGCAAATTTCAGGAAAAGGTTTACCGGAATCCAATTCAGGTCATTATTTTGGGCTGCATCAAAAGCGGGTACACCTCAGGAATTTAGATGTGTAATGCAAGAAGTGAAAGGCTTAAGTCATGAAGCTTATGATCATCTCTTGGAAAGAGATCCAAACACATGGTCAATAGCCTTTTTCAAGACCGATACATCATGTGATGCGGTTGAGAATGGAGTTAGTGAGTGTTTTAACTCATAAATGGTTTCAACAAGAAGGAAACCTATAATAACAATGCTTGAAGAGATAAGATTAACCATCATGGAAAGATTTGAGAAGATGGCCATGAAAGCTGAGAAATGGAATGGTGACATTTGTCCGTCAATCAAAAAGAAAGTGGAGATAAACAAAGATCAAATGAGGTATGCTTTTTTATTAATTTGTTTCATAGATGCGATAAATTATTTACCTAATATGTTTATTACATTATAATTATTCGCTTAGATTTTGGCAGGTTGTCCCGAATGGCAGGACTCTCTTTGAAGCAAAAAAGGGGCTTGACGGATACGTTGTCGATACGGATAAAATGACATGCACTTGTAGGATTTGGCAAGTCTCTAGAATTCCATGTGCTCATGCAGTTGCGGCTATCTATTTCATTAACCGAGACCCAGATAAGTATGTTTCTCCCTTTTTTTCAAAATCATGTTTCATAAACACATACAACCATAAGGTCAATCCATTGAATGGCGTCAAGCTTTGGCCGACCACAAATTTTGTCAAGCCTTTACCACCAAAATTTAGAAGAATCCCCGGAAGACCTTCAATATCTAGACGGAAGGATGAATGTGAAGGTGGTAGTAAAAGTAGGACCAACAATTTTGGACATAATGAGGTAGGAAGAACAGGAAGGCAGATGACTTGCAAAAATTGTTGAGAGGTTGGACATAATTCAAGAGGTTGTAAAAACCAGAAAAAGGATGCACCTTCTATGCAAAAAAATCCGGTGGGTAGGCCTAGAGGCAGTGGTTCAAGAGGCAGTTCAGGGAGAGGTTCAAGCGACAGGACTTCAAAGGGAAAGGGTTGGTCCAATTCCACCGATTGTGGTAAGTAAACCTTGTGATTCCATGTGTTTTTATTAAATTTTTCCTATTTGTTATTCAAAAGTCATTAGGTAATTAACGTGACTTTTTTTTTATTTGAAGTTGAAGCAAAAGAAGGGGAAGAAACTGCGTCTAAAAGGACTAAGTGGAGCCGGGTGTAATATTGGTTGGGCATTAACGAAATATAGTAACATTTTGGTTTATAATTGATAGCGGTGTTATGTTATTGTCATTTATTATAATTGATACGTCATTTTTCTAAAATATTTAACCATCTAGAATATTTTTGTTAATTAACTTATCAAATATTTAGCAATTATTATAAATGTTTTTATTATTTGATCTTGTTTAGTTAATTAAAATTTAAACAAATAATAGGTCTAAAGATGTAATTTTTCTTAATTGAAAAATACGTATTTCACAAAAGAATAAAATTAAAAGAATGACATGGATTTTTTAACTGGAAAAAATACAAATTAAAAAAAAATTAAAAAAATGATGTGGAATTTTCCTTAGTTGAAGAAAATACAGATATTTAAAAAAAATTAAAAATGACATGGACTTTTTTCCTTAGTTGGCATTGATAACATAAATAAACAATGTCACATCAATAAAAATATGATCCTAGTCAACATTTGTAAGTCATCAGGTAGATCAGGTACTTAAAAGATTGATATTTTACAATTGAGGTAACAAAATAAATGTTTTAAAAATTTGTTACTAAAAATAGGAATAAGTGAAAGTACATTACTTTTTAATGCAATTTACCCAAAAATAAAATATGAATAGACAATAATAATACTTAACAAATTTTTTTGGTTTATTGTACTTTGTTACTGATCTAGATACATCGATAAATGATATATTACATTCATTTTAATAAGTGTAAGGAACTTGATCAAAAAAAACATCTCGAGACTTAATTGTTCAAAATATAAAAGATGGTTTGGTTCCTTAAGTTTTAAAACGTTTTAAGGATTTATTTGTTTGATTTCAAAAATTCAAAGGATTTATTTGTTAAAAAAAATCAAAGAACTTTGATAACTCAAAACGTAATAGTTCATTGGTTTTTTTCCCCCTACTTTTTCCTTTCCTTGTTAAAAGCTTCAAACCAAATTCCAAGCAAATACTAGGTTTCAAACATCAGTAGCTTGGTTGGCACTCAAAACCGCACAAACACCATGGTCACTTGTGGGACCGTAAGTTTCCTCTCCATTGGAGGTTTTTCCGGCTGTTAACTTCAAGGACCCATGGATTGGTCGAGGTGCGTGTAAACACCTAACCGTTATCCAAAATAAAAACTTAAAAATATGCTGAAATTTTGGAGGTATACCAAACCTCATGACACCTGCCCTGGCCTATATCAACCAGTTGGGGCTTTTATAAAAGAATTCTAAAAACCACATAGTTTCCTTAAAGTTGGTTAATTTTACACGACTCTCTCAGTACATAAACAACTAGCTATTATCAAAACCAAACCAAACCAAACCAAATAAACCCAATAAATCCTATAGGGAGAGAGAGAGGATTTTGGGTAGGCTTTATCATAGACGCAGAGGCAAAGAACAGAAAGAGAATACAACATGAGTTAGAGAGAGGCTCATATACGAGCAACATATGAATTGGCTTGGGTAACATATCTCACCCACCGGTAGGGATTGTATGTTTTGGACTTCTTTGCAATTTGCAAGTATTTCACCTACATCACAAGCATCATCAACACATTTACTTCTCTAACTCCGTTACAATTATCATTAAATTGTTTCAAGAATAAAATGGAGGCACTAAAAGGCACTTCAATCTATATGTTTGAGGTATTAAAATGAAAGGTTTATGGAAGTACGTAACAGTATGTTACGTTTGCATGCAATTTTCCCAAAAAGAAAAAGAAAAGTCAAGTCGAGAGGGGAGGAGAGGAGTTTTGTTACCTGTAGTCTAGAGCAATTGTACATGGGTATGGTGAAGGTCATGCTGACAGGTCCAGCTTCCTTGGTTATATTCCCTATTACAGAACCCGAATAAGTTGCAAAATATGAACCCACGTGAATAAGGCATTTGCCATATTTGCAATAGAACTTACCATGTGAGTCCTGTGAGAATGTTAGCTTTGCACGTAGTGTATGTTCAGATCCACCAACAATCTGCACAGTAACTTTACACCAAATTAAATCCCTCCCAATACTTGGTGAATGTGGACATAGAGATAGCATTAACAAGAGAAATTGCCTTCTTTAACCCCCACTCCAGTTTCTTGTTTGATTCCTTAAAATCAGTCACTTGTCCAACTGCTCCAGATTCCATTTCGAAGCTAATTCTGAAAATTGTTGTACAACAAATTAATATTCCTTAGACACTTGCTTACTGAGGGAGGGGGTATAAATACAAGCATCAAAAATAGGTTTAATCATTTCCAAACAGGTCAAGTGATGTATAGTTTTTTTCTTCTTGGAAATGGATGGTCTCAAGGCTAACATTGGTCGATTTCATCACCCACATCTTTATCCACCACGCTACCATATAACTTTTTCCGGTTATGGGCTTTTTTGCTGAACATGCTCTTTTTTCAAAAAAATGTATCATCTTGAGGGGCAAGCCTTTATAACTATTACTAATATAAATATCTAAATTCAAATTTTTGAAACTTGACATCTTAAAGATTGCATTTGAATTAGAAGCCTTGGCATGTTTTTACTTTTACATACTTCTCCACTGGTCATAATTATGTAAAAGTAAAAACAAGATAAGGCTTAGATTCTAGTGTGTATTATCTTGTATATTAAATGTATTTAATCATGAAATAACTTCTTTCTTTTATTAGATTGGTTTTAGTTTTTTTGTACATATAAACACAAACATGCATGTGTATAAACACATGCCCAAAATCTACTTTTTTAGAATCTCCAAATCCCTGGTATCCATGTATTATCCTTGCACCATAGCCTACCAAGGCCTACCTGAGTGGCCTAGGCTCCTTTCCTCAAATACAAGTGACCAGTACACTTGTTTATTCACCAAGCCAAGCCACTTGCAGAAGCCCATAACGATATAGAGAAGCTAATAGAGGCCCCTCATGCGCAACTACCAGCATCCCTCACACTTCACAGCAGCCACCACCACTCCCATCCCCCTGCGCACCACCACCACACCTCCCCTCCCCCCCCGGGGGGAGGGGACCGTTTTTAGTTTCCAAGTTTTTGTTTCACTTTTAATCACCAAAGTTTACATGTTTATGTTTTGACCACCAAACCAATTTTAGTCCTTGGTATTTTTTAAATGACATCTTTTAAAAGTTGGGTGGCCTCCGTTGACGTGTTTATTGTTGGGTGGCCTATTTAAAACTTACAGCAAACTTTGTTAGCCTCCCTATATATTAAGCCTATCTTTTATTAAATTATTAAAATGGGTTTGCAGAAAACAGGAAAAAGGTACCTGGATGTGTATGATGGCACAGGCATCTGAACCACAACCGTATTTGCAGTAATATTTTGAGGAAATTCGGCACGTACTTTCAGAATCACTTCAGCCTTGGATAGAAATGAAACATGATATAGTATAGGAGCATGCTTATGTAATGGGCATTAGTATGCCAAAGAAGTAAAACAAAGCACAAAATAGGATAAGCACCGCTGAAGGATAACTACAGAAGCGATAGTCATCAAAAGAGACGTAAACCAAAGTAAGGCTCAAATGATGGATAATGTAAGAGATATAATTGTGTATTTACTAAAAAGAATTACAGGAAGAAGATATCTACCTTGAGTGATCCAGCTTCTTCAATGAGGGTGTTAATACGAAAAGGTGGCTTAAATTCCTGAGTCATGCGATAATTCATGACAGGAAATTCACCATCATGAGGCACCTGATAAACATGAGCAAGATTAACATCAGATTCATCAAAATTGCTGAATAGGCATGTCAAATAAATTAAAGTCATATCACATTACTTACAAGAGTCAGAGTTCTGTCGACATCAAAACGATCTAGATGCACAGATTCATGGAAATTGCAATCATCTAGTATAACTGCTCCTGATCCAGTGGAACCAGTGTAATCTGTCATAGAAAGCATGATTTGATAAGCTTTTGAAAGCAGATAACCCTCGCAATAGATTATAGACTAACTATGAGCTTCGAAAAGTTAATGGTCATCATGGTCACTCAGTTTGCATCCCAAAATGGCATGATCTCAAGGGCATAAAATATCAAGACAGATTTCAAAATTTTCTAACAATAACATTCTGGTGTTGGATAAATGAATAAACTGAGAGGATCGCGTACCATATAACGATCTGCCACTGCTTCCTATATTCAGCTCCTCATTAAGGGCTAGTCGGATTTCTGGATTCCCAGAAAGATAACTCTTCATTTGAATGGTTCCATCTATCTCAGAAGTTAGTATGTATCCCTGTTCACGTGTATAAATTTAGAATAATTTGGATGCATGATGAAGCTAACGAATTTCTAATATATTATCATCCAATTGAGTACACTAACTTAGTGTTCTCCTTTTTTTGTTACTATGATAACGACAGAAGCCTCTTCCAGTCCTTGCTAGTGAAAGTCTCAAAATGAATGTTGGCCAAGATAGTAGAAGAAAAATTGCCTCGACCTGAAAGGAGGTGGACTTAAATAAAGAAATATAACGAAGGACTTTTGTCTTATATAGGGAGTGTGGAAACAAACATTCAGCCCAAGTGTCTAGATCATCCACTCTTTGCACTGCCCATATTATCTTGCAAGTGTATTGCCTATGAAGTAGTTGAAAAGTTGTTTGTGCCACATGAAAGCAAAGTTCCAACAAACCGACAGGTTGAAGCTGCATACATAACCCATAGAATTACCCAGTAGGGATTTTGCCGAGTGCAAGAATAAATCATGATTATGCTGCACTATTACATAAGGTGCATAATGAAATCATTAAAAACAGGACTTGTGACAGCGTAGTATATACCAAGTGGTCTTTTGCCTAATGGTGGCTATCATAACTTCAAAGAGGAACATGGAGGGTCATGGCTTCAAGTCTCATAAAAGATGCTATTTAGGACTATAACACACAGAGTCACACACCCATATGCAAAATTGAAATCACATTTGTGATGGCCTGAATAAGGAAGTCAATATTGGTTGATATCTTTTTTGGTTTTTCTTTTTGCTATGTCCAAGATATCCTGAACATAAAGGGAAGACCAGCTTGATATATTTTTTTTACATAGCATAGATATGAACAGCTCAATTTCTTAAGGGCTTATATGAGAAATATAAGATATGAACAAGAGTTAGGAGACATTGTTGTTAGCTCTAAGGTAAACCATCTCCCTATTTGTAGGCTAGTATGGTTAAATCTTGGCTGCGGAACCCTTATCGTGGTTCATGGAAACTTATGGTCAGTATCCTTTCAGTGTGCAAATCTGGATGCAATTATAGGGAATGGAACTTCCAGCCATCCAAAAGTTTCATCCTCTACAACCAAATAACCTTTCACCAACAGTTGGAGCTTTCGACTGAACCTGCTATTCAGTTTTATCTCCTACACAACAGTAAAAAATATGACTTGCTCCTATCAGTTATGGCTACAGAACCCCATGATATTTGTTGGTCACATAGTTGACAAATGTTGAAGCTTAATGTTTTGATGGTAAAGCTAGTTTTCTTAGTTCATATCAGAAAAAAATTTGTAGAAAACAAAACTAAGAGTAGAAGAAAAAATTACTCACACTAGAGCTGAAAGTAACACTTATTTTTTCAATTATATCCACGAAAATTTCCTCCCTCTTTCTACCCCCAGGTTCATTAGCTACCACTGACTTCGTGACAGCCGTCCCTGGCATTCTTTTGTTCCCTTGCTGCACAAATCGAAGTTGCAAGCAAAAAGATATAGTAAGCATGTACACTTAAATAAATATATCAGCCTTGAATGACTTGTACCATAAAGAGAGCAGCTGGACCAAGAGGTGGCATTCGTGCAGCATCAACCATGATTGGCTCATTAAATAAACATGACTTCAGAACTTCAGTTGATGTCGTTTGCACATAACCAAAATCCTGGGAGCAAAAGAAAGAAAACATTATACTTAACCTCCTTTAGACAAAAGCAAAAAGAAAACATAAATTTGCACGTGATTTTACATATATATATATATATATATATATATGTATGTATGTATAGAGAGAGAGAGAGGAGTCGGGTTTAAACGAGAACAATACCTATTTAAGAGAATAAGCAAACGGCCAAATCACATGTGATTTTACACTAACATCACGTACAAAATCATATGTGATTCACGCCACTTTACCTCGCGACCTGATGTCATGGCCAAAGTCGCCCCAACACTTCTTTTTTACCGTTAATATGAAATCAAATGTGATTTGGCCGTTCTCATATAATCTTAAATAGTTAGCATTCTCGTTTGATCCTGCCTCTCTCTCTCTCTCTCTCTCTCTCTCTCTATATATATATATATATATATATATGTGTGTGTGTGTGTATATATAAGTGCAATAACATGAGAAATAATAAAAGTAACCGAGCACAGTTCAAAAAATATTTTCATTCCTCAGTGCATAATTTAAAACCTGATCATCAAGTATTCATGTATCCAAATCGACTCCTACCAACATCTATATTGCCAATTACTTTGAAGAATTCCTAGCTTTATCAGCTATGCACAACGTAACGGGTATTAATAAAGAAACAAAAAAATTAACTGAGAAAGCTTCTTAGGAAATCACCTAAATGGACAATATATGCATCTAGAGAACACCTTCGATTATCTATGCTCAAACACAATATTAGCTATTTGGGTTTTCAACTTCAGATGCAGAACTATGAAGGGAAAAAAAAAGTTAAACTTTTGCATTTGTAAGTACAGAACCCTCGTAAATTCTGCTCAAATTTAGCAAATGCAGCAAAGTTATATGAAAGGGATACTTACAATTACTTCGTCAAGTAATTCGTACATAAGCACAAAGTTTTTCCGTATTGAATCTTCATTTAGGATGCCAAGGTAATCTTTGGTAACTCGTGCTATTCTTAGTAGAAGCTCCAAGACAAGAGAAGGTGAAACATTTGCTCTAGTTGTTGCAACAAACAGCAACCCAACTACTTTGGCATGAAAGTAGTTGACACCATCCACATTCTATGATGAAAACATTATCAGTAACCATCGTGTTAAAATAAACAATTTCATGACATATGTGGCTTTTGTAAGATGCAAAGGCTGTCAGGCTGATTATCACCTCAGAAAGAACAAATATAGTAACAGTGAAAACAATCACTCAAGCAAGTCAAATATTAAAGCTTGCCCAAAAACTTGATAAGTTATTGTGAAAGTCATCGAGTGCAGAGGTAACTGTTGCATAAACATGTTGCACGTATTCAATTTAATACTCAAAATGTGAAACAATGTTAAGGAATGCATTGAAAGAATTTTATAACATAAGGGAGCAACTAGAAGAACTATTCCTTTTTCTTGCCCTCTGGGAGTCTTGCCCGGGCCTTGTACATACCACCCGTCACACTATGGGAGCTGGCCATGCCCGATCCCCATAGAGTGAAAGAGCTGCCTGGTGATCCCTAGGTTGCAGCATGTGCGGTCGTTAACTCCTTGTGACTGAATTGTTTCTTTTATCTGTGCTTTGCAAAGCTGGAATGCACAGCAGGAAAGCAAAGCGGCTTATGCCGAATATCTTGAACTCAAAGAAAACCATGCCTAACGAATTTCCCATGTTTCATCAAGATCTATTTGACATAAAAAACAGTTTACTTTTAAAAATACCTACAAAGACAGGTGGAGCCTCGGCTTCTCCATCCTCCTTCCAAAACTTCACTTTACGAAAGAAGATCTCTGCACTTCCTTTTTGCACATCACCACGATCTGCATCAGTGAAATGTGGATGTCAAAAATTAAAAAAAAGCCAAAGGAAAGTACATGCAAACAGGGAATAGTTCTGCAAACCAACTAATCATCAGCTTCCAACTACACAACTACTACTCCCACGAACTTGTTGAAAAATAGGAAAGTTTTCAAGAAAGGAAACCGTATCAATCATCTTCCAATGTTTGGAAAGGGATGTTTATTTTTTAGAAAGTAGATACTTATATTTCTTCTTTTTTACTGGTTTTTGTTATTTTTATAATATAAATTATGTGCATCCCTGTGAATGAAATTACAGTTGGAAATCCTTTCCTGTCTCGTTTTATTTCATGGTATCAGAGCCTTGCAATCTTTGCAGGCTAAAGTCTTTGAGGTAACTCTTGTTCATCCTGTCTTAACCATTCTGTTTGTTTTTCTCTGGATAGACCAGCAGATCGATAATGACAGGATCTGCCCAATCTTCTACCACTCATCAAACTCCAAACCAAACCCCATCCCTTTTCCATCAGCAGAAATCAACTCCTCTCTCCAAATTACCCAACAGACTGAACTTCCGTGAGTGGTTTCAGTCTGTTATGTTTGTTATTAGAGGGAAGGAAAAACAGGGTCCTTACGTGTGAAACAAAGGCTCCAGACAAAAAGGATGAAAGTTACAAATTATGGGAGGCAGAAAACTCTATCATTATGGCATGGCTTGTCAATTCGACGAATCCAAACATTGGAAAAACCTATCTGCACTACAAGACTGCCCAGAAAATCTGGGAAGTCGTTCAAGAGGTGTATTCTGATCTAGAAAACACCTCACAGTGTTTTGAGATTCGATCATCTCTTCGTAATACCAGCCAAGGAGAAAAATTTGTAACTGAGTACTTACAATGTACTAACCGAACTATGGCAGGAGATGGATGTGTTCTACAACATCAATTGGTCATGCAGTCAAGAGTGTACTCACTATGCCCAGATGCTCGAAAAAGACAGAATCTTCGACTTCCTCCACGCGCTCAACAAGGAACTACACGAGGTTAGGGGCAGAATCCTCGGTACCAAATCGCTGTCCTCCCTTAGAGAAGTATTTGCAGAAGTACGTCGAGAACAGAGTTGGAAAAGGGTGAGGCTACCGACCCCAACAAATGCTGAAGTCCACGGATCTGCTCTTGCTACCTACAGATCTGAAGGACAAGGGAATGCAAAATCCAAGAACATCAAAGTCGGGTGTGAACACCGCAAGAAACCACATCATAGGAAGGAGCAATGCTGGGACCTCCATGGTAAGCCCCCAAACTAGATCCCTCGAAGGCGGCAATCATCTGCCCATGTTGTGGAGACTCAACAGAAAAAATCTCGTCTCCAAGTCCTTCCACTCCAGCCCAAAAGGAAGTCTTTAGAACTCTCTTCCATCCAACCAATTCCCCCACAGCTCCGACATGTAATGGGGAACCTCAAGGTGAGTATACTTTATCTTCTTTCCACAAAGGAGAAATTTTTGAAGGTTGAATCATAGATACTGGTGCTTCTGATCATATGACAGGAAACTTTAACCTATTGAAAAACTTTAAACCAGCCACCAACTGTATTAACATCACAGTTGCTGATGGAAAGGTTTCTCGTGTTATGGCACCGGGAACATTATTTACGATGATTTAAAACTGAATTCAGTTTTATATGTGCCAAACCTTCAGTTTAACTTACTGTCACTAGACTTCTCAAAAATGAAGACTGTGTTGTAACTTGTTTTCCCACTCTTTGTGAATTTCAGGAGCAATCTTCAGGGAAGATGATTGGCATTGCTAAGGAATCCCATGGCCTCTACTACTTTCGTGGTTCTTCACACAAATCCTCTCTACAAAAACACCACTCCCTTTCTACTATGTTTGAGTCTAAAGTTTTGTTATGGCATCAACGGTTAGGTCATCCTAGTTTTGAGCATTTGCATCGGTTGTACCCAAATTTATTATCAATAGAAGTTATTCGGGGTTTCAATGTGAAAGTTGTGTTCTTGGAAAACAGACTTGAAAAACTTACCCAAATTGTACCTGCAAACCATCTCAACCTTTCAATATAGTCCATAGTGATGTATGGGGACCCTCACATACTCTAAACATCAATGGAACTCGTTGGTTTATCACCTTTATAGATGATCATACTCGTGCTTGTTGGGTATACCTACTCAAAAACAAATATGAGTTTGGTCAAGTCTTTAAGCAATTCCACAAGCTTGTGGAAATTGTTTTTAAGTACAAATTCCAAGTAGGTGGGGAATATTTTGCAAATGATCTAAAAGATTACCACAATGAACATGGCATCCTCCATCAATCTTCATGTATCCACACACCTCAGCAAAATGGAGTGGCTGAGAGGAAAAAATTGACACCTACTTGAAGTATCGATGGCAATCATGATACACAATAATATACCCTATTGTTTTTGGGGTGAAGTCGTCCTCTCATCAACCTACTTAATCAATCATCTTCCGTCTAAAGTTTTGAGCTTTTCAACCCCCATACAAAACCTTCAAAAGTGCTTTGTTAACCTTAGAATCCTAAACTCTTTTCCACCTTGTATATTCGGTTCCACAGCCTATGTTCACAATACCTGCCCATCTCGTAGAAAATTAGACCCCAGGGCTGTCAAATGTATCTTTGTGGGCTACTCCCCAGAAAAAAGGGGTACAAGTGTTACTGTCCAACCTCAAAAAAGGGTGTTCATTACTTGTGATGTCGATTTTTTTGAAACTCAGTTTCTATCCACTGTATCTCTTCAGGGGGAAGAGTCTCAAGGAAGATATCCACTGGGACCCCTCAATCTCTCTTCCCGTGTCTTTATACGAATCTAGTCCAACCCGAATCCAACTAGCCCAACTATCCCAAGTCCTTCCATTCAGCCACTGCCTCTACCGAAGTCCAAGGGGGAGATACCCAATCCTCTGAGGCCCAAGCAGATTCTGATCAAGGGGGAGATACTCAACCACCCCTTTTCCAAGTATACTCCAGACGACCAAAACCCAATATTGGCCAATCATCAGCACCCGGACCAGCTCCTGACGCAGGATGCTCTTTTGCGCTGCTTTTGACTGATAGAAAGCATCTCTCTTTTGTCCCTCCTGATTCTCGGGAATGTGAAACATTACACCTCAAGAACATAGTGACCTTAATGTTCCCATTGCCATTCGAAAAGGGGTTCGAACTTGCATGTATCGGGACATCTCTCATACGGTAAGCTTTCTTCAAAATATAAAGCTTTTCTCTCACAGGTGGATAAGGAAGCGATCCCCAAAAACATTCATGAGGCCCTATGTGATCCAAAGTGGAAGAATGCAGTTATGGAGGAAATGAAAGCCCTTAAAGAAAACCAGACATGGGAAGTTGTTAAAACTAGAGCCGAAGAAAGGTAATCAGGTGCAAATGGATCTTTTCGGTTAAAGTCGGCACTGATGGAAAAGTCGAGAGATACAAAACCAGGCTCGTTGCTCAAGGCTACACTCAAACCTAACGGATCGACTATGAAGAGATATTCACCCCAGTAGCCAAACTCAATTCCATTCGAGTCCTACTCGCACTTGCTGCAAATCTAGATTAGGAGCTACACCAGTTGGATGTAAAAAACACCTACCTCAATGAAACATTAGAGGAAGAAGTATATATGAAGCTACCCCCAGGGTTTGAGGAAAATAAGGAGTCAGGGCTAGTGTGTAAACTGAAGAAGTCTCTGTATGGTAACAGTCACCACGTGCATGTTTCAAAAGAATGTGCTCAGTCATGAAGCAATTTAGAGACATGCAAAGTCAAGCTGATCACAGTCTGTTTGTGAAACACTCAAGTGAGGATAAGAAGTCATTACTACTCATGTATGTTGATGATATGACAATAACTGGGGATGACACTCGTGAAATTGAGAATTTGAAGAAACAACTTCATTCCATGTTCAAAGTTAAGGATCTTGGAAAACTACAATCTTTCCTTGGAATTGAGATTGCTCGAAGCAAACAAAGAATATTTATCTCCCAAAGGAAATATGTTCTATACCTTCTAAAATAAACAGGGAAGTTGGGATGTAAACCAGCAAGTACTCCCTTGGAGCGGACCTAGAAGTCAAGAATCAATGACAATGATCCTCCAGTTGATCGAGAGCAATACCAACAACTTGTAGGTAAGCTAATTTACCTATCACTCACACGGCCTGATATTGCTTACAGTGTCAGTGTTATGAGCTAGTATATTCACTCTCCCACTAAGAGACATCTCGAAGCTGTCCAACACATCCTCAAGTACTTGAAAGGTACACGCGGAAAAGGATTGCTATTCAGGAAAACAAAAAACAGAAATGTGGAAGGATTTGCTGATGCTGATTGGGGAGGATCAAGCGATGCTACATCAACAACTGATTACTGCACTAAAGTGTGGGGGAACTTAGTTACCTGAAGGAGCAAGAAACAAACGGTAGTGGCTATAAGCAGTGCTAAAGCCGAGTACAGGGCCATAGCTCTGGAAGTATGTGAACTAACTGGATTAACTGCCTACTAGAACTCTAGAAGAGCTCAACGTAAATATAAGTGGGCCAGTCAAACTAAACAGTGATAGTGAGTCTACAATCGCGATAGTCTATAACCCGATTCAACACGACAGAATGAAGCATGTTCAGATAGATAGAAACTTCAGCAAGACTGAGGTAGAAAATGGCACCATTAGTCTTAACTTCGTTCTAATAAAACAGCAGGAAGCAGATACGTTCACTAAACCATTGATAAAATCATACTTAGAACGAAATGTATCCAAGTTGGGAATGTGGGATATACGTTCGCCAACTTGAGGGGGAATGTTGAAAAATAGGAAAGTTTTCAAGAAAGGAAACTGTATCAATCATCCTCCAATGTTTGGAAGGGATGCTTTTTTTAGAAAGTAGATATTTATTTTTCTTCTTTGTTGTTGGTTTCCTTGTTATTTTTGTAATAAAAATTATGTACATCCTTGTGAATGAAATTACAGTTCGAAATCCTTTCCTGTCTCGTTTTGTTTCAGAACTCATCAGTGACTAAGTGAGCTTCAATAGGCATTTTCAACTGTGGGTAAGAAAATGTGTCATCAAATGAGCTACGCAACATGGACACTCCATGCAAAACATATCTTTCAAGACAGATATGTATCATCCACACATATGCTCGTATGTACTTGTGGACGATGGATACGTGTAGTTGGTGCATATAACAATCAAAAGGTGATGAGAAGAAAAAAATTGAGGGATAGAACTTATACTAAAATGTAAGTACCCGAGGCACATCCACCTTCCCCTTTCCTTATACTTTGCAATGTTAAAAGGATTTTCTTTAGAGAGGGGAGGGGTACAAATGATTTAAAAGCCTAACACTACAACAATCTGATATAAGAGGGTGATTTAATGCATCAAGGCTCCTCATTGTTGCATGGGTTAAAGAGGGAAATAGTTGCATACAGCTTTTTGCCTTGCATTTTTCTGCAAGTTGTTCTTATGACTTGAACCTTACCTTCAGACCAGGATGGAGTAACCACACAATGCTCAAAGGTTCAGGAAAGTCCTAATTTTGAATGCTCAATTATAAAAACTGAAGGCCAAAACCAATTTTCAGAAAACATATTAGCATCTAACTTAATTGTTTGAGATCTTGTTCAAACTTGAGAGACCTTATCATATGTACAACACCGGCAACCTTCATCTTTTCATAAAATCTACAAGTTATAAGTTTTCTCACTTTATTTTTCTACTAAAGCTAATACGTCTCAAGAGTTGTCCTACAAAATTGTCCGTTTCAACATGGCAGAAAAAAGATAAAAAGCACTTCTAAGTTGTTGCATGAGACATGAGGAAGACATAGATATCCCAAGATATTGTTCAGACCCAAGAGAAAATGTTGTGCCGGTAGTTCAACCTACAGAAACTGATATTCCACAGAGTGGTGTTTCTATCCAATAAAATCTCCTGCATCGCCTTTAAGAAATTCCACTGTTTTAAAAGCATTATCCAAAGGTACGTGGTCGGTCGAACTTCTAGCACTTGTCGCCTATGTGAGGATTCAATAAATGCCTAAGAGGACTTCATAAGAAATTCATTTAATATATAAAAATACGATTACTCTAAGATTATGGACATAGGAGAATTAAAATTTTAGTAGCATGTTATTTTTATACAATTACTTTTCTAAATTTATTCTTCCATTGGCACAACTACTTGGAAATAATTGGAAAGTACCTACAGGTCAAGTAAATTTGACCGAGTTAAGGAATTAGTTTCTAGCAGAAATGTTGTGGCTACTTAGCTCCTAAGCAGCTGACATGGACGCCATAACTAATCGAAGCGGGGAGACCAATTGATGGCTAGGCAGGCGCTTAAGCAGACCTAGGCGGGGACATGTACATTGGAAAATTCAGAGATCTACTTCATTGTTTGATATTGGTGTTTGGAAGTCCTACAGAGATAGAAATGTTAGGTCATATGATTTAACTCGATTAAGAAGAATAGAGCATTATCATCTTCCTAATTTCGATCAATCATATGAACCCAACATAAATAAACAATCACATTATAGATTTTGTAATGAGAGGACTCACAATCACGGAACACAATGTTATCGCCTCTCTGCGACAATACAAAGAACTGTGAAATCATTGCCGTGAACCTACTTCCTTCCTCAATTCAACCAGCTCTGCAGAAAATAAAGAAATTTGATATTAGCTTAATCACGAGCAGCTGATTGAATCAATCAAACAATAAAATTGTAATTTAGACAAGACGAAGATAAAAAATTCCTACATGATAGAGATTATGTATGTCGAAATCGGACGACGAGCGGGGTGAGGAGGTTGTGTGCAACTGTGCAAATGAGATCCGATGAAGTGCTTATTAAAACAACTTATGCTTTTTGTAAAAATGCTTATTAACTTATGTGGTATTAAATTGGAGTTTTGTAAAAAATGTTTGGATTAGCTTATACCGGTACCAAAAAGCAATAAGTTGATAAGTTGTTTTTTAGTGTTTGG